TTAAGTAAATCTAATTTTAGTAAATATATTTTCTAAAATTAAGAAAATTTTTTTCTCAGTGTAGAGTTCATGAGAAGAGAGAACGAATTTCTACGCATGTCAATGTCGCAAGGGGCATCGGTAAGTGACGTCAGAGCAGCGCCACGATCCGAGGATGTACCGACGAGGATTAGCCTAACGAATATGAAAGAAATGTTACCGACGTTTAGCGGTAAGAAGGGATCTTATCGATCCTGGAAAGAGCAGCTTATGATGGTAAAGGAGATGTACCGTCTAGACGACAACATGACCAAATTACTGTTGGCAGCAAAACTATCGGGTGACGCCGCCGAACGGTTTCACTCGTTACCAGAGCATCTTTCGTTGAGCATCGTCGAATTATTGAAACGAATGGAGGCTATGTACGGTCAACGAGAAATGAGGTTGAAGCTGAGGAAAGAATTTGAAAGTAGAATGTGGCAGCAAGGTGAAACGTTTGAAGAGTATTTTCACCAGAAGACTATTTTAGCCAACAAGGTTCCCATCGATGAGGATGAGATCGTTGATTATTTGATTGATGGTATACCGGCTGAGGCGACTAAACTCCACGCAATGATGCATAAGTTTTCCAGTAAAGAAGCGATGTTAAAGGCAATGGCAAATGTTCCCCTTGGATTTGAGCAGAAAGTGCAACATAGAAGTGAAAAGCAATCCACCGGCAGGAACGTAGCTAAAGCATCAGGTTCAACTAAGAAGACCGAAGGTGAGGCGGGAGCGAAGTCAGACGTGAGGTGCTTCAATTGCAATAATATGGGGCATGTAGCAGCCAAGTGTCAGAAACCGAAGCGGGAAAAGGGCGCCTGTTTCAAGTGTCTGCAGCTGGGACACAGAGTAAAGGACTGTCCAACGAAGAATGTCCAGAAGAGCGATCATATTCCACCATCAAAGGATACCGCCGTGAGAAAGGATAATGATGTCAACAGCGTGTTCACTGGGGTAACAGATCATTTTTGTAGAGACTTGGATTATCAATTGAGTAACGACAGCGGAAATTTTGTATTAAATTGTAAGCTCGATACACTCTTAGATACGGGTAGTCCTGTAAGCTTTATGAAGGATACATTAGTACCGTCCAATTTAATTGCGCCGATAATGTCAAAAGTTAAGTATACGGGGTTAAACGGTAGTGAGATGGAAACGAAAGGATGTGTAGTGGCTGAATTGGCACTCAATGGTAAAGAACCAAAACGCGTTTCGTTGTTAGTTGTGCCAGCTACGTCAATGCAAAATTCTGTTGTAATCGGTAGAGATATTTTACTACATTTTTTTAAGATGGGCATTTCAGCTGACGAAGAAACCGAAAATCAAGTTATTCGGGAAATATTAAATATTGATACTGATAACTCGGAAGATAAATTACTAGATTCGTTAATTATTAATCCCAATGTAAATCTAGAAGCGCAAACAGCTGTAAGAAAGTTATTTATCGAGAATTATGTTAAGCCCAAGAAGCCAGATCAGACGTTGATACCCATTGATGCCGAAGTTAAGTTAGAACTCAAAGAGTCTAGGCCTTTCCATTTTACCCCGAGACGACTTTCATATAATGAGAAAAATACACTACGCGTGTTCGGAGAATGCTCAATGGAAGATTCAGAAATGAAATCATAGGTAAATTCTCCTGGTACCTTGGCGAACCTTTGCAGTTCGATAGTGAGCCCTCGCGGCTCCGCGGCGAGTCCTTGTGACTCATGCGAGCCCTCGTGGCTCCGCGGCGAGTCGTTAAGACTCATGCGAGCCCTCGCGGCTCCGCGGCGAGTCCTTGACTCATGCGAGTCCTCGCGGCTCCGCGGCGAGTCCTCGCGACTCTTCTATGATGTTCCGAAATTCGATTAAAGAAACGGTGACTTCAGCTGTTTATTGATTTCTTTTGGAGTCATACTTAGCAACGCAAAAATCAATAGTTGTTATTTAGAGAGGAAGACGAACGGACGTATATTGACGTGATAATAAGAATTTCTTCATCATTAATTAATTGAGTTGTTTTCCGCTAGTTTTTTTGTGACCGATGAACTCGGGAGTTTCGTTGTGGCTTATCCTGTGTTTGCTGCCATCGGATGTCTGCTGGCTTCCCGCAATTGTCCTGCACGCCTTGCATCGTTTCGCCACATCTGGACGTGTCCTGCGCTGCCCGAGGTCCATCTCCAGCTGCTTTCTGCATTTCCTGGACGAAGTTGCTGTCATCTTCTGACCGGATTCCTGAACGTCCTGCTTTCATCCTCTTCAAGTGTTCTACGCTCCTGCCATCCAGATCCTTCAAGCCTTATACAACTCCAGTTCTACGCTCCTGCCATCCAGATCCTTCAAGCCTTATACAGCTCCAGTTCTACGCTCCTGCCATCCAGATCCTTCAAGCCTTATACAACTCCTTTGAATCATCCGGCTGTTCCCGGAAACGCACTCGTCTGTGTCTTCTACTTCCCCTGCATACGATCTTCATATAAGCACTCTGCACTTCGAAACCGCAAGTCCTGATCTTTTAAATCTAAATCACCGACGCGAGATCTTGCGAATACCAAACCAGAATTTATGCGTTCGCTAATTATGTAACATTTTTGGTCCTTCGAGCCGGATCGCGTATTCGAGAAGATCTATATCGCGCAGGGTCATTAGACTAATGTAATTCAGTTCTGCCCGAAAGTGCAGCTCCAAATCGTTATAGCTTTCTCGGCGTGCGAACGTAACTTCATTACGAACGTAAAATAATTTTCGGTTTATTCTTAATAAGGTTTTATATAAGTTAAGATCGATTTCATTCACTATTTCATTTAATTGCTATTATAATTTTTAAAAAAATATTTTTTTTTAATCTTACGTAACCAAACATGGCGAATATAAGATCCCGAATTAATTTACAAGAAAGTAGATTCGCACTTATACAACGCGCTGCTGAAGATGCAACGGATGACTATCCTGTATCTAATAATCGGTCATTGATTAACACACGCTTGGAAGTTCTGGAATCTAATTGGTCAAGATTTCAATCCGAGCATGATAGCATATATCAAGGAGATATAGAATTCTCCTACGACGAACCATATTTTAAGAATAAGGTTTACGAACGTTGTCAAGAGTTCTATGTTCAAGCACGTGCTACGTTGCTCAGCCGACAAGAAATTTAGAAACCTCCAATCCTACCTCTCGATCGTCGGACACGTTACCCAACGTATCATTTAGCCGTCGGAGTGCTTTGCCTAAAATCACGTTGCCACGTTTTTCCGGCGATTATCCATCTTGGCGACCATTTCATGATCTGTTCTCCTCCATGGTCGTAAATAATCCAGAGTTAACTAATGTGGAAAAGATGCAATATTTGAAGACCTGTCTCAATGGCGAAGCCGCACGACTAATTACTAATCTTCCGGTTTCAGGAGATACTTTTACCATTGCCTGGGAGGCTCTTATCGTTCGCTATGAGAATAAAAGATTATTAATTTCCTCTCAATTAGACAAACTCTTTAGCATTAAGCCTCTCAAAACAAAATCTGCTCGCAGCTTAAGTTTGCTTCATGCCACCGTCACTGAATCTCTAGGTGCTCTTCGTGCTCTAGGTTGCGCTGTAGATCATTGGGACCCAATATTATTATATCAATTACCACGCCTCCTAGATTCAGATACCCGAGAAGTTTGGGAGATTAAGCTCGGTTCTTCCACCGCATTCCCAAGGCTAGTTCAATTTGAAGACTTTTTGATTGGACGCACCAGAGCATTGGAAAGTTTGGAAGGTCATTCTTCAAAATTATCGCATGGAAAGGAACGACCTTATGGATTTTCTTCAAAACCAGAACAAGCTCGTACTTTGTTAGCAACCACTAAAACGGCGGGCGGGATGACTTGTCGCATTTGCGGATCTACACATTACGTATCATCTTGTCCTGACTATTCGACTCTCTCTATTCAGCGACGTCGTGAAGAAGTAAATAAGCTAAAGCTTTGCTACAATTGTCTCGGAAATCATACGTCTAAACAATGTCCCAGTACTCAACGTTGTCGTAAGTGTGGTAAAAAACATCACACATCTCTACACTTAAATGATTCTCATAAAATTACCATGTCAAATAATGATAAGGTTACAGAACCAAATACATCCGCTGTCCCACTTCCGTCTCAGTCAAATACAAAATGACTATCTTCCACTCTAGTTCATCCATGTTGAACTATCCTCATCGTCTCGACCATCGGTACTACTCGCTACCTGCCAGGCAAGAATCTCAAGGAAAGTCGGCAGATTAGAATCCATTCGACTTCTTATAGATCCTGGTTCGGAGCTGTCATTTGTATCTGAAGACGTCGTTCAAAGACTTGCATTAACACGGAAGCCTGCTTCAATTACCTTACTTGGAATCGGTGTAACTCACGCTGGAAGAACACGAGGAGTTGTTACTCTACATTTAAAATCCCTTCATGACATGTCTTCCGGTTGTACAATACAAGCTTATATTCTACCACGTCTTACTACAAAACTGCCTACATTTGACGTCGCTACCAGCTCTTTAACTTGTTTCAATGGACTTCAACTAGCAGATCCCGATTATGGTCGTCCTGGCCCGATACACATCATAATAGGCTCTGACTTCTATGGACAAGTCATTAAACCGAACTTAATTAGAGGAGATTCTCCTTCTTCTTTGGCACAATTAACAGTTTTCGGTTGGGCACTTTCAGGGCCAGTATCGACAATAAACGATTTTCCTTCGGCAAGCGGCTATCACTGTTCAATCGATCATCAATTACACGATCTGTTGTCAAAATTTTGGAAACAAGAAGAAGTACATTGCCCGACCGAATCTTCATTAAACCCTGATGATGCTAATTGTGAGGCTCATTATAAATCTACGCATTCTAGAGATGACACTGGACGATACATCGTAAGACTTCCTTTAAAATCTCCAGCTTCGTCCTTGGGTGATTCCACAAAAACAGCCCTTCGTAGTCTGACGCGATTATGCCGAAGATTAGAGACTGATACTACCTATAATAAACGCTATTCAGATTTCATTCAAGAATATGAATCATTGGGCCATATGACTCTGGTGCCAACATCTGAAATCAATGCTTCTCCAACTTTCTACCTTCCTCACCACGGAGTACTTCGTGAACAAAGCCGTACAACGAAACTCAGAGTCGTTTTTAATGGATCCAGCCGTACGAATACAGGAATGTCGCTAAATGACATCCTTTATCCTGGTGCGAAACTTCAGTCAGAGATTTCTGACGTTCTACTGTGGGTGCGTTTACATAAATATATCTTCTCAACAGACATAGTTAAAATGTTCCGTCAGATAAAAATGCATCCAAACGACTGGGATTTACAACGCATTTTTTGGCAAGATTCAAATAAAGACATAATTTCCTACCGACTGACCACCGTTACATACGGTCTAAGTTGTGCACCTTTTCTAGCTCTTCGGACACTTAATCAACTTGTAGAGGATGAAGGGCATCGTTTTCCTTTGGCAGTTCCCCCTTTAACAAGAGGTCGGTATGTCGACGATATCTTTGGTGGTGCCGGAACAATTATTGAAGCCAAAGCTATCGTCGAACAGTTGATTGAGCTTTGCAAGGCAGGTGGCTTTCCATTACAAAAATGGAGCAGTAATAATCCTGAACTCCTGAAACTCTTTCCTAAAACGTTTAGCGACACTACCACGCCAGTGGAAATTGAGTCTTCCACGATCAAGATTTTAGGACTCTGCTGGCAACCAAGCACCGATACCTATCAGTTTACGTCTTGGCCAACGACGGAAAGGAAAATAACAAAGAGAACCGTGCTTTCAGAGATAGCTCAACTTTTTGACCCTTTAGGTTTAATCTCTCCAATTGTGATACGGGCAAAATTATTCATTCAAGAACTCTGGATATCTAAACTCGGATGGGATGACTCTTTATCCCCCGATCTGCAATATCGCTGGAACACATTTCGTCAACAATTACCTGAACTTAATAGGTTACATATCCCTCGATGGCTACAAACCTCACCAACTGTACAATCAGTAGAATTACATGGTTTTTCCGATGCCTCGAATCTAGCCATGGCTGCGGTTGTGTTTATCAGAATCATTGATAGTACGGGAAATATCTCGACAAATCTAGTTTGTTCCAAAACCAGAGTCGCACCTCTGAAACGTCTCACCATCCCCCGCCTCGAACTTACCGCTGCGCTAATGTTAGCACGCCTCATTTATCACGTACAAAAAGCTCTCGAGATGCCTGACATTCCCATTTTTCTATGGACAGACTCTTCAGTCACGTTAAGCTGGATCTCCTCGCATCCTTCAAGATGGAAGGACTTCATCCGAAATCGAGTTGCAGCAATCCAAGAAATAACTCCCTTTGCTACATGGCGTTTTATTTCAGGAAAACAGAATCCAGCAGACTGTGCTTCTCGAGGAATTGATGCCACACAACTAGAACATCATTCTTTGTGGTGGAAGGGCCCACCTTGGCTATCTAAGACTACCACCGAATGGCCATCGGGTTTTCCTGGCCGAGCGCCTGAAGCTGATCTCGAGCTGAAGCTGAGCCTCGAAGAACGATCAGGGTCATCTCTGATAACATTACAGAATCCAAACCACCATACTGGAATTTACTTGATCGGTATTCTTCGCTAACTCGGTTGTTACGTATCACTGCTATTTGTCATCGAGTAGTTGCTCGTTTTCGTCGCACTAGTATCGAGCCAATTTGTACACCCCTTACACCAGCCGAGCTACAACAAAGCAGCCACTTTTGGGCGCAACAAGTCCAGCATTCCTGTTTCTCCCACGAAATCAAGATACTTTCAGAAGGCGCGCAATTAACTAAATCAAATCCTATAATCCGTCTAACCCCTTATATCGACAGGTCTGGACTTTTAAGGGTTGGTGGACGACTACAAAATTCCAAGTTAGACGATAATTCAAAGCACCCTTTAATTTTACCTCGACATTGTCCCTTTACCCGTCTTGTAATATCCGACGCTCATCTGAAAACTTTACATGGAGGCACTCAAGTAACTCTAGCATACATCCGTCAAACCTATTGGATCATAGGAGGAAGAGCACCAGTTCGATCTTTTATCCTACGCTGTGTACGATGTGTACGGTATCGAGGGCTACGAGCACAACAGCTAATGGGCCAGCTACCAACGCAACGAGTAACACCTTCACGTCCTTTTTTAAATTCCGGTGTCGATTACGCAGGGCCAATATTGCTCAAAACTTGAGTAAGCCATCTCCAAATTTTTATTATGCACACTTTACTTTACTTTACTTTTTTTTGTAATTAAAAATTTTCAAATTCCC